ATTTTCAAATAAAAAAACAAGATTTAGTATGTTAGTACATGACATAAATTAGGATTGATTGACGCATTCAATTGTTTTTGGTCACTTCCTGTTTCACCGGAAATTACTATAACTTTTCATTTTTAAACGGCACCCTTGGTATATTTCTACTTTATTCGATAGAAAATGACACTCTGAATAGAATGACACATCATATGTCAACTTTTGACATTCTCGCATATGGTTTAATTGTAATTGTAACACGCGGTTCATAACGACAATTTGACTCGAAATACCAAATGTGTGGTATCAATATATTCATAAAAAATGCTTTTTCCAAATATGCTAATGAGTCACCCTTGTTCCATTTGAAAAAATTGACATATGTATGATTAAAAATACGATTTGTACATCTTTTAACCGGCCTAGACAAGACACGAAACCCATTAGACGATCAAAACTATTTTTCCAAGGCTCCTTCATTAAAACTTAGTGTTTTTAACAACACCATGGCACCCTGGATTGAAATTTAAAATAGGATTTGTTTTTAAGCGACAATGTCAAAAGTTGACATATGATATGTCATTCTATTCAGAGTATCATTTTTTTATTGAATAAAGTAGCAATATACAGAGGGTGCCTTTAAAAATCAAAAGATGTAATCATTTCGGTGAAACAGGAAGAGACCAAAAACAATTGAATACGTCAATAAATCCTAATTTATGTCATATACCTACTAACATACAAGTCTGTTTTTTTTTATCTGAAAAATAAAAAGTTATATGGGTGAGCCACTTTTGAGACGACCCGGTATATTAAAAAATATTGTTTCATAATGTAATATCATTTTAAAATTCTTGTATGTTATTTTAGATTCTGAAGGTAATTTTAGAATAAACCGGAATATATTTTTAATAAAAACATTATTAATTATTAACAGGGTTATAATTATGATTTTGTTACAATGTAAGTAAGTAAATAATGTAATGTAAGAGAAAAAATTCAGATTTTACATTTTACTAAAATATTATCTAAATAAGCGCCTTTCTACAACAACGCCACTGACTCCCAATGGGTAAATTGAGAGTTGCCTACCGGTCAAAAGTCGTTTCAAGACTTAAATGGATTATTTAAGTCAAATTTCTTGCAAATTTGGCACTGGCGAACCATATTTTATAGTTCTTGAACAGAAAAAGTCAATAAAATAAACACTTAAGCACTACAAGCTAAGAAAATGCATTAATACAGCCGGGGAGATAGCGGCAACAAAGCTTTACCGCACACGTGCGACACGTACTACAAGGTAATAAATGAATGAATAGGCTCCCTCGCCTCTAATCGGTGTTGTCATATCGTAAAGAACTTATCCTTTTTAAACAGTATCCGACTTATAATTTAGTAGTATAAGGACTATTTAATACATCTCTGGAATATTAAAACCTACTTTATTAAACTGTAGTATTAATATCTCAATATATGTGTATAACAAGAAAAAAATATTAATAATATTAAAGACGTGACAACATAGGCTGGATGAGGAAGGCTCGGTCGACTGTACCCAGAAGTAAACATGTGTACACAAAATATTGTCTGTCCGCGTTGAGATGTAAATAGTGTAGTCTATATTTTATTTTAAGTCTATGATAAAATCACTATATTTTATAACTGCTCTGGTTTACATATTGTTCTAACATTCTTGCTGTAATATTTCTTCCATTGTCATATATTTTACACCTATTACAACGTATTCCATTCTCTAGCGGGCAACTTTATCAAAACGTATAGCCGGTAGTTAAGTGACTTATAATACCCGAAAGATTTCCAGGTCGTACATTACGTTATGGCCTCCCTTTTAAAATTGTTTATGAAAAGTGTTGGGGTATAGTATATCCCCGGTTTTTTCCAACCCTATCCTGCGGAGATTTCCTTTAATTTAGGAAAGCGAAGAGGCGGTAGGTTGTGAAAAACGCAATATATTTTCGCAGTTCGGGTTTCTCGAATCGCAATAAAACGCTCTGAAATATGGGTATGGAAAAGATGAGTAAAACGGTTAGGACCACATTTTTATAGTCGTTATTATTGCCTTTGTAATTTATGGCCTCTTTAAAACAATCCTTTATATATCAGTCTCGGATCTTCTTCAATATGAGGACAATTCTATAAAGGAATATAAACTTTGTTCCAGCATAGCAGAGAACCGTTCTGGGTAAATTACGCTTATGCGCAGTAGAGAAAATGAGTTTCATAAACGAGAGAGACCTTTAGAGAACTAGACAATAATTTTAATATATTTTTGCATTTTGCATAGTTTCACAAAGAAATGTAATTTTACAAAACAGTTTATTAATATTAAATTATTAACTATTTTGGCTAGGCGCAGAATTCCAGTAAGGTTCTTCTAGACAAGAAGAGATGGTAATGAGTATCTGACATACATATGTTCTGTTTTGTGACTTTTTATTAACGTTTATAATAAATATTATAATTATAAACCCGTGTTTTATTAAATTTATTAATATTTACTAACTCTTTACTAATTTACAACTATAACCTATTTTCTTGCCTTTACACTTTTATCTCAATCCAAATTTAGCAGTTGAAATATTGTTACATTAATAGCTTCAATGATTTATGTTATAACAAAACACGCAATAAACATGTTTTCAAACAAACTAGAAAGTGTATGATATATTTTTTGAATCGACAATACACACTCGTGATACCATAAAAAACAGACGCTAATTCGAATTGAAAAAATGCAATTTTTAACAGTAAAAAACGTAGAGGCAGATTATTGCTTTGGTCAAATACAAAACGTTTCTGTTTACTTCACAGGTAAATCCGAAAACATTTTTGCAGGTGCCAATTCGCTTTTCGGTTTTGACAAATATTTGTTGTTTCGGCCTAAATTTTCAGTACCGACAAACGGTATTTTTTATGTGCGTTTTTTCATAAAAAAATGTTGTGTTGTTTTTATTAAAAATTGCAATAAACTGCATTTACGTTATATTTTATTTCTAGTTTTGTAGAAAAACAGCGTCAAAGACGACTGGGGAATGACAATCGATGATAATTTTGGCGAGGTCAGTTTCGAGACGTCGCGCGTCGTCACCGTCGTTTACTAAAAAATTAACACTAAAATCATAGTATTAGTATAAGGAAACTACTAGCTTTACTCCTTGTCAAATCCTTTTTCTGCCACTTTATATGAACTTGTTCTCGCGTCCCGTGACCACTGACGTAGCTGTACAGTCGTGGTCTATAACTAGGCAAAGTATAGTCGTAGCACTCGCCATAGTTTCACAGAGATGTATTTAGGAAAATATGAGTTCACAATAAAATAAAATAAAAAAATTGATCATGGAGTAAAAATTTGCTTGAAAACAGAATATTTTCACATTTGGTGTAAGTAGCAATTCTTCTGTATCTGAAAATCTCCTGATAGGAAGAAATGCGGAAAAATATATAATGACATATTTTTATGTTATCATCTATTTCAAAGATTTTCTACAACTTTTTTTTAATTTAAAACAAGTTTAATTTTAACATTAATGTGTTTGTGTTGTAGTAATATATATTGGTTAGGTGATTTTCATTCGATAACTAATACATTCAACAACACATTGTACTAAATAATAAAATAACATATTGAAACTTCACTAATTGCTAATAAACATTACAGAAATTTCAAAAGAGAAAAGAAGCAAGAACAATGAGAAATAGCATCATTACTTTCTCACGTAATAAAAGAATAATTTTCTAGTTATTGTTACCGAGTCCCGAAGGTACCGAAAGAACCGGGAATTAATAATTTCGAGTCTCGGTTCTTTGATATCTCAATAGAACCGGGAATTTCCGGTTCTGATCCCTAGTTACCATATTATCAAGAAATTATTTTTTTTTAACTAAAAACTAAAAAAATCCAGATTTCTATTCAAAAAAAAATTACAGAAAAATCCTCATATTTCTAGGATCTAATATAATACCCCTAAAAATATTTGCACTTATCTAAGACTCACCCTGTATAGGGCGATTCACGGTTATGGTACGTTATAGCGTTTCCGGAACCGGAGCTGTTTTTCGGAAGCGGTAATTTCGGCACCATGCCTCTAAGGAACCGGGATTTGCAGTTTTTTTTATACTTTCGGTACTAGCAAATTTTTGTTAAATGATGATGCAGTTCGTTAAACGGCAAGCAAGGGATGGCTGTCAAAAGTAAAATCGATAAAAAATTGAGGTTTAAATGAAAATAATATCAAATTATTAAGTAGTAATTAGTCATGAGAAAATTAACCTGAACACAAACATGATCACAAATAAAAAAACTCAAACCACAATTTTTTGAATTATTACTACAACCAATAGCAGCACTCAGTAAGGCACTTATTTTTTGTCAATCCGTCTCTGTACAGGGACCCAACGCTCGAACCTCGCAGGTCGACGGACGGAACTCAACTGAAAAACTCTGCAATCTGCCGATATTCCACAGATTGTAAAAACTGGCAGAAAATATTTGGGAGAGTGCAACTGTTCTTTTCCTTCTACTATGCTAAAATTACAAAAAGATAAAAAAGGATAGAACGTTTCCAAACACACAAATATATTTCCAAAAAATATATTTTTTTCGAATTCGAATTTTTTACTCAATATATAAATTACAACTTTCTTAAGGCCAACAGGTAGTAAGCGCAATTATATGCGCAATACAGTCTAGAGCTTGACATCGCCAAAATTATCATCGATTATTGTTTCTCTGCCTTCTGCGACCCCGTTTTTTCGATCTTAATGTAAATGAATACGTGAAAGAATTAATACTGTTTTTTTAGATTTCTGTAAAATATAACTTATTTTACAAAAAACTAAAAAAAACAGTATTAATTCTTTCACGTTTAGAAAAAAAGCAATATGTATATAATATTTCTAATAAGACTGATACGGAACAATAATACAAAAACCAATATGAAACACAAATTTTTTTTTGTGTTTCATATTTAGTGAAAAAAGAATTGAAAAACACTTACCAACCTATTTCTGCATTCCCTAACAGCATTATCAAAAGTTCCTTGGTCGAACAGGTTTCTTAGCAATATTTAATCTGTTGATGGAGACCGGATTATATTTAATATCTGGAAAAAGGAGAGAAATATTACAAAATGTCATTGTTTAAAATAATTAAATTTAAATTATTATTTTTAGTCAGTAGCGGCTCGTGGTTCAATGCTTTGGGTATATAATAAGTAAGTAATTTATAGTAATAATTAATAATAATAAATTGTCAAGCGACCACGCCCAAATAACACTGTGGATAACTAAATAATTGATAATAAAGACTGAAATTAAAGGATTTTATTTTTATTAAGAAATTTTAAAAACCAATCTACTAAAATTTATTGTCTTCAGAAATGGCACATCAGTGTTGTTTTTGTAGTTCAATATCGTTAGGTTAGGTTATATCATTTTTGAGACTCAGATTAAACTTACAGATGTGGCACTTATTTTATGTTGCTGATAAACCCCGCCGTAACTTCGGACCTTTAATAGGGCTATGGCGTTGTCAGACTTCGTATTTTTTTCTCGAATGCATTGTTGCCTTTTGTAAAAAATGTATTCCTAAATTGAAATCAATTGAAATACTTAATCTGTGGCACAGCTTTTTTGTGGCGCTGAATGGTAGCTATTCATCATACGCATGCGCTTTGTATTTAGTGTCTTTAAATAGGATATTTAGAGGGACCGAATGCATCCTTGTTTTGTTTAGATTCCTCGGCTTACTGATAAATCTGTATTAATCTGTGGTTGGAAGTTCCAATCGCGAGCTGCAATACCTATCTCTTCAAACAGCTAAGTTTAGAAAAACATGTGGCACGGCACTGTTTGGAGACATGGTAACAATTTGATCTCGGTTATTATTGGCCCTTGTATTCCTTAGTCATTGGACTGACCTCTAGGTATATGCTATGTTTTTAGTGTTTTTTTTAATTATCAAATACCCAGACCGAAAATACTGAACTTGTGTTAAAGAAAAAATATATTACCACTTAAATCCACGTCTCGACTGATTTCTTTCTAAATGCAATAGCACGTCATCTACACACGTCTCGTATACCCAGCCTTAACGCCAATATAATACACTGGCAAACGAGCACTACATTACGTCGAGATGTAATAACGGCTGCGGAATTATTTATAGGCGGCGCCAAATCTGCATTTGTCACATATACGAAGTAGGGATGTTAATATTTTAAAAAATATATCGATATTGAAGTATCAATGCTACGGAAAGGGTGATAATAATTACTGAAAAATGTGATTCTTTAATAAAAGCAAAAAATATGATGTTAATCAAAATTAGGGATGAAATCGAAAGTGTATGACTATAGAAAGGCTTTTTGATTTTTAGGACTTCAACCATATTTTCATGTTTTTTTTTGTAATTTCCTCTAAAACGGTATGGAAATTTGGAAAAGTATAAACGGGATTAACCATTTTAGAAGAAACAGATTTTTTTACGGAGAATGTCTTTTTCTCAAAATGTCAATAATAATAAAAATATATTCTCTTGTAAAGACAATCTGGGGACATACCGTATGTTGATATAAAAAAATATTTTTACGCGAGGAATCTCCCCCCGAGATATGGTATAGTAAACGCCACGAATGTATGGGAGTGATTCATCGCTTGATGAAGTTAGCATCGACACGCGCGCTATCATTTTTACATTAAAAACGTAAATTTTTACCGCAGACGTAGTTTTTAAAGGCCCGGTCTAATCATCTGCCTACGCTCCTCCTACTTATTCTAAAATGTTAGCGTGATTGACAAAGACGATACTATATCGCGTTTCTTTGATTGATTCGTTTTTGTGCGTCAGTCCATTGGTGTGCTTGCAGTGCGACCAATGGGGCATTCCATTTTATATTTATAACCAAATATATGTTTTGACAAGACTTTGACAGTTAAAACAACAAATTACAACAGATTATACGAGGCATGTTTTTTAAGTAAGTACCGTTTTGCGATTCCGCCGCCGCAGCGCTACGGTCGGCGTTCCGCGCCTGCGCGCTGGTTACCTACATCTCTTGTCTATGCACAGACGCCAGTACAGTCTGATTCTTCATTGTATACGTTGTTTATTGAGTGTTTAAGATGCCTCCGACAATCGTGAGCCCCGCCGATTGTGAAGTACGGGCTGTCATACGATTTCTTAGTGCTAAAGGCGTAAAACCGATCGATATTCATCGTGAGATCTGTGAAGTTTACGGACAAACCATTATGAGTGATGGAATGGTAAGGAAAAGGGTGAGAGCATTTAAAGATGGCCGCACAAATGTGCATGATGAAGAACGGAGTGGGCGTCCTTCGGTCGTTAATGAAGATTCGGTGCAGAAAGTGGACAAAGAGGTGAAAGAAAACAGACGCTTTACAATTTCATCATTGTGCGACTACTTTCCTCAATGTTCTCGTAGTGTTTTGTATCGCATTGTGACCGAGAACTTGAATTACCGGAAATTGTGTTCACGTTGGGTTCCGAAAATGTTGATGGATTTGCACAAAACCCAACGTTTAGGCAGTGCATTGACTTTCCTTGAGCAGTACCACAATGAAGGTGAAGATTTTTTAGACAAAATTGTTACTGGTGACGAAACATGGGTGGCCTACGAAACACCAGAATCGAAACAACAGTCCATGGAATGGCGACATTCATCATCACCCAAAACAGTGAAGTTTAAGCAAACAATTTCTGCCCGGAGAATCATGTGCAGTTTTTTGGGACAGAAAAGGAGTATTGCTAGTGGAGTTTCTGCCTCGTAATGAGACAGTCAAGGCAGCATCTTATTGTGAGACATTGAACAATCTGCGCCGTGCAATCCAAAACAAAAGACGTGGCAAGTTGAGTAAGGGTATTGTTTTGCTGCATGATAATGCCCGTCCACATGTGGCTAATCGGACCAAAGATCTCATCAAATCTTTTAAATGGGAAACTCTGATCATCCTCCATACAGCCTGATCTGGCGCCCAGTGACTACCATTTATTCCTGCACTTGAAGAAACACCTGGGCGGTCAGCGTCTTCAAGACGTTAACGAAGTCAAAACAGTTGTGATACAGTGGTTAACCAGTCAGGCGGCAGAATTTTATGAGGAGGGTATTGAAAAACTGGTGCCACGTTATGACAAGTGCCTCAATATTCACGGAAATTATGTAGAAAAATAGATTAAGGTACAGGCTTTCATGTAAAAATAAAATTATTGCGATATCTTTGCACGTTTTTTTTTTAATTCCAAAACGGTACTTACTTAAAAAACATGCCTCGTATATTGATTATTATAATGACTTGAAACACCACGGCACTGGAATTAAGTTTTATGTGACCTTGAACAAATTAGTTCACATGGTAGTGACCGATAAGTCACTCCCGAACATTCGTGGCGTTTACTATACATGTTTTTTGAAACACTCTGTTCAATAATTCTGTTCATTATGTAGGCTAGCACCCAGCCCATACAAAACTATCACCATGAAAAGTTAAATAAAAATTAAACGTACTCATATATTATCATACGAATCGATATTCTGAAATTATCAATACGTGTCACACATCCCTAATGCGAATCGGTAAGGGAATCTACCCCGAAAGAAATATTCCTACGATTCGATTTGTGAGTGCAGTAAAATCAGTCGGCGAATAAATTACCTCTGGCCTCGTAAACTTGAAATCTTTACACTCTCGAGAGCTGTTGGAAGTCGACTTTATACGACATAAGTTTAATAATAACATATTTTGAAAATAAAAAATTAAATACCTACTATGGAGAAGTAGTAACGGGATGAATGATTGCATCTTATTTTTAATCTAAGATTGCATTTAAAACCTCAATACAGCAAAACAGTTTAACATTGGACGCGCGTTTCGCTAACCATGATGTAGCATCTCTGTTAGCATCATCAGCAAATGATTAAAACTAAACTATGTACATCTACAAATTGAGCGTAAATCGTAAATAGAGAACGTAAATAGATGTTAAAATGACCTTTTGATAATGTAATACATATCCAGGGGCGGCTTGTCCTATGAGGCAGATGAGGCAGTGCCTCACCAATACATTTGAAAAATTACACTTATTAATCGATACATCTTTAATCACAATTTTATATTTTTTTCCCTATTTGCATTAATAATAATTGTATTTTTTAACCGTCATTCTACAATAAATTACGTCGAAGGTATTCCTTTAAACGCGTTTCCTATCCCATATGCGACAAACTCGACGATGTATCCATCACATTTGCTCTTTAAGAGGTATATGTGCAGAGGTTTGCCTCTCGCCTTTCCTTGTCTAGCGTATTGTGGTATATCGCACTGACAGAGCAGCAGCGTTCACTGGAATCTTAACTCTGTAGAATGAAAAGAAAAAGCATAGGCAAAACCTTTAGTTGAAGAGAGATAAAATGTATGGAGTAGTAGCGCGTAAAAAGACCGTATTGAGGCGGGCCTCAAATGTAAATTTGAACCTTAAAAGCCGTTCGTTAAAAATATGTATCACTTCCCGATCAGCCCGAGAGATTTTAGGCGACAGGCTGAAAATGCAGAATTGCATTATTTGGGAATTTGGCTTAGTTTGAATCAGAGTTTTAATTAATTCTGCAGGTTATTACACTGTTTTGTCTACGTTTTTTAATGTGAATTGCATGTTTAATTACTCTTTTTACTGATTATTGTACATATAAAGTAAATACCTAAAAAGTGGGCAGTGACTTATTGTTGATTGATATGATGATTTAGAGGGACCATGCATCATCAGAGGACTTCCCCAGGTAAAGTTTTTCGAATCATTTCTAGATAAATTGTGTATAGTCAAAAAGTAAAGCGACCTGTTACAGATTTCGTTTTGTTTTATTTTTATAGGATGGGTAGAAAAACAAAATTTTACCATACAGAGTAAAATATAAGAGAAAATATCCTGAGGTCGCTTTGATAAAATTTTACTGTTGCAATAGCCCTATGTAATAGGTACCGTATGATCGAGAAAAAACGGCATCAGCGTTGGCTATGAAATGAAGATCGCTATCATTTTATATGTAAATTTATATGGGAAATGTCATCGATCGTCATTTCTCAGCCAACT